CATCAACGGCAATCTTCAATGGAGGATCTCTCTTCGGATCATACCCTTCGGGAAAGAAGCTGGAGAGATTGTCAACGGAAACCAAATCATGTTCGTAAAGAAAATCGTAAAGATTTTCAGTCGGTCCACCCAAGCTAAAACGCTCTACATGCAGGGGATCGCCAGGGCTCGTGGGTGCGGGCATTATGGGCGGTTGATTTGGTGGAACACTTCCCACTGGCATGTAATTTGCAGGCGGTAGCATACCGGGGGGTGCCAAAGCAGACTGATGATTAAAACGACCTGGTGGAATACCACCTCCCATTAATACCAGGTTCTGGGGTTCCTACGCGAGGGTGTCGAGGAGCATTGAGCATTGGCATGGGGTTATTCAACATGCCTTTGCTACGCGGATCAGGGTAACCACCAGCAGCCGTGGGCACTCCGGCAGGAGATCGAGCAACAGGCATTGGGTTGCCACCACCATAAGGAATTCCAGGCGGTGGTGGTGGTGGCGCACCTACATTAGGACCGTATCCCACTTGCGGTGGTGGGCTGATACGGTTGTCTGGATATCCATCATGGCGCACCATTGGTCCGCCGTACATACCACCTTGCTGCATTGGATCCATTGGGGGATGACCACCTCGACCGTAGCCCATGGGAGGCAACGGAGCACCCTGACCCGGAAGACCGCCGTACGGACCTGGTATTGGACCAGCAGGCGGAACACCACCATGCATCGGTGGATTACGCATATAAGGCATGCCCGATCCGCCGCCCATGTGGGACGGTGACGGTGACGGAGGGTATTGTCCTGGGTGCATATCTTGATAAACGCCTCCCATATCGCCGTAACCGCCGCCAGACCCTCCACCGGCTCCAGGGCCCATATGGCCATAACCTTGGTTATACATCGGCATTTGTTGTTGTTGCTGCTGTGGAGGATTCCAGCCGTTACCACCGGCAGCAGCGGGAGCTCCACCACCGCCACCCGGTCCGTACCCATGCGGAGACATCTGCTGCATGCTGTGCGGTGGAGGTCGGGAACCCTCGTATACGTTGCTATAGCTGCTATTGTGATGATGCTGATGGTGATGATGGTGATGGTACTGATGATGCTGGTGTTGGTGCTGCTGGTACCCCATCGAGGAAACGGGGGGTGCCATGGGTGATCCCTGCTGGCCCTGTCCGCGTCCCTGCCGCTCATTATTTCGGTTGCCACCCATTTTCCTCATCCTTATCCCAGTGTGCCCCTATTGATCCGAGAAAAACAAACCAGCTAGCACACAAAACTACCACGAATATTTTCAAAATACACACACACACACACAGACAGACAAAAAAAAAAAAAAAAGAGAGAGAAGCATGAAGGAATGGTGGAGAAAACCTTTAAAAAATAGTAATAATAATAATAGCACGCACACAAGGAGGAAAAAAAAAAAGGGGGGGTTAATGACACGTTTTTGTGCCTTCACAACCAGCGAAGTGAACGCATGGAAGCCAAACAGTTGGGGATGTGGAATTCTATGGATGTGAACTTACGCCACTTTCCATGAAAAAAAAAAAAAAAGAGGAAAAAAAAAAGGCATGTTTTTTCCCTGCCCGCTGATTGTCAAAAAAAAAAAAATTTACCGCATTACATCGCCCTCTCATCCTTGCACACAAACACGCACATCTGCACATCTGCGTGTAGATGTACAACACCGTCAGGCCCACATGCTTGACTGCAAAAATACCCAAGAGGCAGAAGATAAAAAAAAAACGCCTCTCTTTCACCCCATGCATACACACACACAAAGACACATGTGTATTTCTTCTACCGCTAGTTTCATGTCAAATACTATTTGTTGTTGTTGTTGTTTGTTTTTCTTTAAATTTTTTTCTTTATATTCTTCCTTCCTTTTCCTTTTTCCTTTCTTTCTCTCTCTCTCTCTCTCTCTCTCTCTCTCGTCGCGCCTAAATAAACACAAAAAAAAAAAAAACCTTAACCCAACCAAAACCCAAAATAAAATACGCCGCGGCTAAGCGGACTGCGCTTTATCCAGCGAAATCTTTGGGAACAACACCTTGCCTTCCACCGCGTCGCCAATGGACGTCCCAGACGGCACAACGCCAAACCCAAAATTCTCCACGCCAACACGATTCGCCTCCGGTACGCCCAACATGTCAAAAATGACGGGTGCCTTCTGTGAGAGGACGGGGCTCAACATGAGTGTGGCCAGGCGGGTCCCCTCCATGGTGATGTACAGAACAGTGCGCAGCCGATCCGGGTCCGTCTTGACAAGCCTCCACGGCGCGTTCTCTGTGACGTAGGAGTTGATGGCGCGAAGCAAATCAAACACGGCTGCCAGAGCCTTTTGCACATCCGGAATTAAGAAGAAGTGATCCACAACTCCCGGCAAGTCCTTTATGAGTTGAATAAGAGCCTCATCCTTTGCATTGTAGGCGTCCGGGGTTGGCCACACACGATGAACGTTGATCTTGGCGGAGGTGCAACGCATCACGAGATTTCCAAGGGTGTCGGCAAGCTCACCGTTGAGGCGGGAAATCATGTTCCTGTCGCTGTAGTCACCATCATCCGAAAAGCCAGTCTCTCGTAACAAAAAATACTTAAGCGCGTCAAAACCGAACTCACGTGCCTTTTCTACAGGATCAAAGACGTTTCCAAGGGATTTGCTGATTTTTTTGCGATCCTTTGTCCACCACCCATGCGCGACAATCGTTTTGGGTAATGGAAGGCCCGCCGAAATCAAAAAGGCCGGCCAATAAATAGCGTGAAACTTTAAAATATCCTTTCCAATGACATGGATGTCAGCAGGAAAACGTTCCAACACTCTGTGGTCCTCGACAAGTTCCAGCTCCTCCCCAGACTTTCCTAGACGGAGACGTGAGGCGGTGTAATAATTGGAGAGTGCATCAAGCCAGACGTAAATGCAGTGGTTGGGGTTTCCAGGGACCGGGATTGCCCAGTCCTGCACAGCCTCCCTCGTACGCGAGACGCTCAGATCGTTTAAACCCTTTTCCACTGTACGGATGACCTCACGGCGGCGGAACTCGGGAACAATGCACCCGGGGTTGTTGTTGTACCATTCCAGCAGGCGCTCACGAAACGCGCTAAGGCGGAACATGTAGTTATCCTCCGCCAACCATGTCACCACGTGACCGCTCTCCAGGCTAACCTTGCATGGCTTGCCGTCTTTATCCACGCCGTCTGTCACATTCTGTGCCGTCAAAAAGGACTCATCGCTGACAGAATACCACCCCTCATAGCGACCCAAGTAAATATCACCCTTCGCCTCAAGTTTGGACCATAACTCATGGACAACCTTTTTGTGACTCTCGTTCGTAGTTCGAATAAAGTAATCCATATGGTAACCCATTTGCTCAAAACAATCAATAAACTCCCTTGAGACTTGACACGTAAAATCGTACGGATTCATCCCTTTTTGCCTGGCAGCCTCTGCCACCTTCTGTCCATGCTCGTCCGTTCCACTCATCGCAAAGACACGCTCCCCTTTCATCGTGTGGTACCGCCCAATGACATCCACAATAAGAGTGCTGTAGACATGACCAATATGAGGGGCGGCATTCACGTAATAAATAGGGGTTGTAATAAAAAAGACTTTACTTATTTTCGGCGATAATTTATACACACGGGGGGCGCGCAAAAAATCAGCAAACTCCTGCACTGCAAGAGATTCCACGGCGCCAGCTATATGCGCTTCTCGCGCAGACTGAAACGACTCAAACCATTTCAAGAGATGTGGCAACTTCTCGCGCTCCTTTTCCCCTAGCAGACCGCCCTCGCAGAGCGCCGGCAATACCGCACACCAAATGATGCAATCAACAAGAAAAGAAGGGGATTTTGTGGACGTCCCCTTCTCCCCCACAGGAGCCAGGCAGGGACCCCGACAGTCATTCTCATGAATCTTATTATCAAGATACTCAAACGCTCCCGCTGCCTCTGGCGTCACCCGACGCTGAGTGTACAATGGGTGCACCGCGCATGTGAATGTGGTCGCCTCCCACTCCAGCCAGGCCTCTTCTTCGAGTGAAACACTCGCCCAGTGGCCATCATAGCAACCAGTCTTCTTGCCGCCGCTCCCACCAGCGGAATCGTCTCTCCATTTATCGTGCAGAATCAAACGAACCATCTCATTCGCAGAAAAGATGGGCTGCTTTAATGCCGGATGATGAAGTACCGGACTTGTGTACGCACCGGAGAGTGTCAGCTCCACCGGCCGCTTGACGTGATGGCAGCAGAGCAACGCCTTCAGCGCCTGCGTGTTCGCCTTCTCCGAAAACAATTTGAGGCTCATTCCTGTATGCTTCTGATGGCAGTCAAAATTGTCCTTCTCTCCCTTGCAGTTTAACGCTCACCTATTTATTTATTTATTTATTTTTTTTTCTTGCTTTCTTTTGCGTGTGTGTATGTATTCCTTTTCCCCACCCCCACCTCTTCTCCCGTTACTTAAGACCCTTCACTGACGTCAACAGAACGTCACGGTTTCGTTGTGGATGTGAAACAAAAAGGGGGAAAAAAAAAAGAGTGTGTCGGTCACATTCAGCCACGGCAGCCGCAAAACACACAACAAAACAAAAGGAACGGCCAAAAAAAAAAAAAAAAAAAGAACCGCGTGGACGTCAAATAACACACAAAAACAAACAAACAAACACGGAGAGAAACAAACAGACAAATAAACATGCAGACACACAAACACACGCACATACAAAAAAAAAAAAAAAAGCAGAAAGGAAAACGAAAAAAGAAAAGACGGCGAGTACATTCGTAAATAAATAAATAAATAAAAAAGCTCGCAATGTAAATAAATAAATAAATTAATTCATTTCTGCAGCCACTTCTATCGTTATTTCCGGTGTTCGTGGTACTCGTCATTACCGGCAGCAGGAGTTAACCACAATCATTTCATTGTCAAAGAGACATGTGTATATTACATACATACATACGTATATATGTATATGTGTGTAATGACAATGTGAAAATGTGTTTATCTAAAAATTGCCAAATTGCCTTACATTCTGCCCTCATCTTGTAATCTTTCCTCTGGTAGTTTCTCCACTTCCATCACATTCTCTCTGTCTCCACTCCCCCACCCCATCGCCCCATTCCCATCTCCCCATACTTTTTCATCGGCCTTTTTCCTCCTCACACCGCCTCCCTTCGTCTCAGAAGCACAAACACGTAGCCGTTGTAATGAAACAAAAGAGAGAAAAAGAGTCTAAATGTATATGTAGATAAAGTGAGCAGAACGAGATAGGGAAGGAGAAGGCAATTTCTGTTATTTATATAACTCTATACGGAGGGAAGGAGGCAGCGCTGCCGTGTCAAACACCGGTACTAACACTCCCCCACAAAAAAAAAAAAAAAAAATTTTGCCCTTATGCCCTCTCTTCTCTTTCCCTCCTGTTTATTTTATCGATGGTTCATCCTATCCCGTGTCTTGTGCGTTGTTGTTGTTTTTTTCTGTTTTGTGAGAAGCTGGCATGTTGTGTTCATTTTCCGTTCGTGATACTTGCACCCTCCCACTACCTCAACGGTCAACATATATATATATATATATATATATATATTTATATAATTTTTTTTTTATATTTATATTTTTTTATTTTTATTTTTTTATATTTCTTATATATGCATGTATATTCTGTGTGTTCCTCTCCCACTTCTTTTATTTATTTGTTTATTTTTTTTTTTTTTTTTTTTTTTTTTCTGTCCGGTCGTTTTATTTTTATTCATCCTCTTCTCCTGCACTTGTCATCTCTCCCGCGCTGTCATTTCTCACAAACACTCATTTTTTTTTGTTGTGTATTTGTTTTGATTTTCTTTTTTTTTTTTTTTTTTTCCTTTTCTTTTATTCTTTCAGTTACATTTTACGCATCCCCTCTCTGTTAGCCGCTGCACGGCCCTCTCCCCCCTTTGACACCTGCCGTGCCTTTGGCTGGAGAAATTCCCTCAGCCATCCAACAGTGGCTGCGTTCCTCCCACTCTCTTCCATTTCCGCAACTTCATGCATTCGTTGCTCACTAATATTTTCGCTCCTCCTCAAATGAACATTATCGTTCTTACCATTTTAATTAAAGAACGTACAGCCAAAGAGAAAAAGAAACAAAAGATATGCGTACATACATACGCAGACACCACGTAATCACATCCACACAGTATAGGTATATATTTATATATTTATATATTTATTTGTTTACTCATGCGTGTGTGTACATGCTAAAAGGTGCTACCCCTTTTTTGAGCAAAAAAAAAAAAGCCAAATCGGCGCCTTTTCCTCGCAGCAGCATACCTTCCTTTCACCCGACTCATGCCTTCTTCGTCGTCGTCGTCGCTTGTTGTTGTTGTTGCTGCTGCTGCTGCTGTGCGTTTCGGCTCTCGACAGAGCGGCGCAGCTTGTGAAACATGCTTTCTAAGAACGGTGTACTGCTGATAAAGCTCTTCTCCCAGAAGCCGTACTCCGAGGCCCGCATGAGCTCCATAAAGGTGCTGAGCACACCCCAAGGGTGAGGCTGAATGATGAGTGTCTTCTCCACCGCCACACGTGTAATCTGTTCCTGAATGCAGAGTCGTGTTGTCGGGTTGCGGATCGATGGGTGCTGCAAGAACAACTGCAAGATGACCTTTACAAAAAAGTTTGTCTGGCAGTTCGGATAGCGGAGGTGGTTGGCGCAGGAGCAGATAAAGTGGTATCGGTGTTTATTGTCCAATGTGCTGGCGAGGTAGCGGTAAAATCTCATGGCATTGGACTCAGAGAAGTCTGGTTTGATGATAAGCTCATGCATATCAAGGTAAACAATGCAAACATGAAGAACAATGGCGTTCATTAACCGCCAATTTGGAGCGGACTGTAGTTTGTCCACAACACTCCGCATGTACGTCTCATCCATCGGACGCTCGTCGCGTATCTTCTCAGCCAACTGGTTACCATCAAAGCCGTTCTGCCAGAAACTTTCCTCGATACATTTCACCTGATTCTCCGTGTTGAGTGGCTTTCGCATCTCTGGGCTGTCATCCGGCACGCGCAAAAAGAACTCCGGCAACTTCACACCTGACGGAAAAGAGCACAAGACCGTATTGAGTAGCTGAACGCAATACGGTGGAATGGCGTCACAGAGCTGATAATGATATGTAATGAGAAACCGCGAGTAGTCATGGGTCAACACAAGCATTAACTTAAAGAATGCCTTGTAGAACACAAGAATATTCTTCGGGATCGCCCCATCGCGGGTAAAGTGTTCAATAAACTCTAGCCCTTGCACCAGCAAGGCAACGTAGTATGGCCATAACGCCAATGTACGAAGGCAGCGGTTCAAAAAAATGCGATGACTTACAAGCTCTAACCACCCAAAGGCAAATGCCGGGTACTTCATCGGGGATAATCTATGCAACAACTCGGCAAAGACATGCGTAATCTGCTCTGTCGTCTCACGGTTCGGAGCATCCGCGCGTACCAGCGTCGTAAACAGAATACTGAAAAAACGAACATATGGCTGCTGCTGGAACACTGGTACAAAGGCGGTTTCAGGGGGAAGCTCCATTTTGTTAATGGGTAGCTGTTGCTGCTGTTGTTGTTTCTGCTGCATTTGCAGAACCACATTCTGGTGGTGGTCAATAAGAGAGCGTTGAAAGGCATCCAGAATGCGCCGAAGCAGAGAGAGTAACTGGCGCGTATCGTTTTTTAGCGAGCAGTAGTACAGCAGCACAGTCGCCAGGTCCGCAAAAGCGTCTACCTTCGCAAACACGGTGCCGTCATACGGGTAGCGGTGCGGTGGGGCATTGCCAGGCTTCCACTCTGCCGTTGAAACATTATGAAGCGTCGACGGGCTGGCACGCTCCAACTCCAACGTTTTCGTGGCGTAGTGCTCCACGCAGAAGCGTGTGCAAAGGCTCAAAAAAGTTCCAAGCTGGTGGTTGTCCAGTTGGCCCTGTTTGCGAAGTGTCAAAATATATTCGTACTGCGGTGGGTTTTTGCTGCTTGACGTCGTCCCCGGCGATGGTGTTGTCGTCGTTGTTGTTGCCGAAGCGGAAGGCTCAGATGACGTCCCGTGCGACCGCCGGCTGTTTATGTTCATCCACTCATCAAAAAGACGGCGCACCTTCTCTACCTCCTCGGGGTCATGTTGCGTTTGTGACAAAACAACCAGCCGACGGACGTTCGCTGGCACCAAGGAAGAAAGCAACGGGTACAGGTTCATAATCGTCAAAGCCTGACCCCCGGATGCCGCGGCAGTGGTGGCACCCTCTGGGCGTTGCTGTTGGTGCTGTTGCTGCTGCTGTTGATGTTGCTGGTGAGAATGGGATTGTTGTTGCTGTTGTTGTTGCGTTGTTGTTGCTGTGCTGCTGCTGTTGGCTGCTGGTTGCTGCTGCTGTTGCTGTTGCTGTTGTTGTTGTTGTTTCTCTGCTATCGAGCGCGGCGGATGGGCCACCAACTCCAGCTGTGCCAGTGTGTCCTTCAGATTTTTTGGGACAACAAGCTTTTCAGTGATCAGTGCCTTCTTGATGACACTCCCGGCAAAATCTATCGCTGGTCCCGACATCGAACTGTCCAGAATTGCCTTGGAGAGGACTTCATCGAGCCTCGTGACGTTTATCACCTTGATGCGCAGTAGGTTTGTCACGAGGTCCGCATGTCGCCAACGTCGTTCGTCCTGTAAAAACAGCCTCGTCAGCTCCTCCCGCACGGGCTCCTTGCCACGCTCAAAGCATGTCTGCAAAACAAAAAGGTACACCTCATTCAGGAATTCGCAGACGTTTTTGTGGCGAATGGTGTTTGCCTCCATGCTACCCCCCCCTGTGGGTTCCACTTGTTTCATCGCATCCGAAAGTGCCATGAGCTTCCGCAACAGGTGGGAAACGCAATAAAAGGCGGTCTCACCCGTAATCATATTGGAAATGTTAATAACCCGCATACGTATGGTATCGTGGCTATCCCCCAGCGATTTATTCGTAAACTCAGGACTTGTGAGTGAGAGGACCTTGCAATTCTCCATCGAATAATGCGCCACAGTGGCATCCTCAATGGTACGCAAATATGTCGCCAAAAGCCCTACGATAGGAACATTATTTCTATACTCATCATACACCGCCCGTTGCAGGGGTGGAACATTGCGGGGAGGTCGCAGCACCTCACCCATCTGCATCAAAATGTCCTGCACCTCGTAATGCTCCTTTGGGATGCGTGGAAACTCACGGGTGTTAATGGCCTCAAGCTTCTCCCTCACCACCTGCATTAATTTATCGTGGACTCGCCTTTCAGCCTCCTCTGCCGCCTGGTACTCCAAGACACGGACACACAACTCCATGTTATTTTCTCGGACTTTGTTGCGGAATCGCTCTCGCCGCTCCATCACGTTCGGGAGGTGAACCTCGACAAAGTGCTCCGCCAACACAGCAACGTGTTTGTTAAAAGGCTCTATCAACGAATCACGGACAGTCACTGTGCACAAGTTTGCCGCCAATGAACGTGCCATCGCCTGGCCTGCACGCAGCATGCCTCCCACATCCGGATCCAAAAGAAAGTCCTTTGTGACGATACTGCACGCCGTCACTGTGGCAATCATCACCGCACGCTGCAGCGACACTTTTGCGTCTTGTACAATTTTTTCAAGGGTGCGAGCAAGCGCCCCCTTGTAAACGTCGAGACGATTTGCAAAATAGCTCACATCCTCGTCACTTACCCGCACATTGTCTGGTGTTATGAGAATCGCTGGGTGGCCCGACGCGGAAACATCCGCACTGGGCATCGTGTTCGCAACAGGCATCGCATCCTTCGGTTTGAACGGCTCCGCACTGGCTTGTAGCTGACGAGTCTGGCGTTGTTGCTGTTGTTGCTGCTGTTTTTGTTGTTGTTGTTGTTGCTCTTGCTGCACCTGTTGAACTGATTGCGGTTGTTGTTGTTGTTGCTGCTGTTGTTGCTGCTGCTGCTGTTGTAGTGGTGGTGGTGCCTTCGGTTGCTGCATGAGAAGCGGAGAGGGTTCATGGAGATCCTTCTCATCCACACGGAAGTCCCCGCTCTGGTGGAGGTTGATCTCCTTGTATATCTCCACCATACGCAGTTGTGAGGCGGTGCTGATGGGGTGTAAAGTGTAGTACCGCTCAATATCCTGCAGCGTCACGTTCATGTGCTTGCACAGCACCTCCACCTCAAAACGAAGTGTCACGCGCAGATGCTTCAAGTTGTACATCTCCCACAGCAAACACAACAGCCGCATCGTCCATGGGTTAGGCGGACAAAAAAAGTGGGAGCTCATGCAGTGATGTAACACACGCGAGACGCAAGACACAACGGCCATAAGTTTCCCCTCACGCAAGCCCATAAAGATCAGATCCTTAAAACAGAGATCCTGCACCGTGATGGGGATGTTCTTTGCAAGTGTGAGGAGCCCAAGCCAATATCCAAGGTTCTTCAGCAGGCTGCGCTCGCCAGGGTCTGCGCGGATCTTATCGGAGTTCAACAACCGCTTGATGGATGAAATCGTCGCGTTGCGTATTGCCTTCTCAAGGGGCTTTGACTGCAGCTTATCCAAGAGGTCAAGGTAGATGCTGTGGTAGTTCGGCTCCAGTGCAGCCCGCTTGATCACCAGATACTCAGCAAAGTATTCGTAGTACTCAGGGCGCAGCTGCTTCGCAAGGTCACTGGCGTTGTTTTCAATGTTGTGCATGTCGGTGTTGCCAATAAGGAAGTTGATCTGCTCCTGAATGACACGCGGGGGAGCTGTGATGTTTTTGGACGACAGCAAAGTCCCAATGTCGTGCTGGTGCAACGTCGCCGCGGCGGAACGCTCCTTTTGTTGGTCGGCGGCAGCCGCGGCTGCCGCCGTCGAGTCACGTCGCTCGGTGCTGACGGCGAGGACAGCTGGATCCGAAAGAAGGGACTCGGCCTCTTTACTTGGCGGTTTCTCGGGCAACGGTTGCCGATTCTGCTGCTGACGTGCCGCTTCTTCTGCCTTAATGCCACGGTTGATTGCGGCCATAATGCCGGGAATTTTTATGTCAAGATCCTTCACGTAACGCAACGCCCGTCCATACTGCGGCCACTCCGCCAACCGTGGCTTCAGTTGTTCCAGTGCGATGATACCATATTCCTCCATGACAGGACCCTTGGGCTTGACAATGACAGGAAGCAGCAGGCTCCATGCATGTTGCTGTTGGCTGTGTGGCAGAAGTTCACGTGCGATCATTTGACCGTAAAGCACGGCAAACAGTTGTAGTTCCTTCTGTGGGTAGCACTCAATGGCGCCATGCTCCTCAAACATGATGCTCACTATACAGGCGTACAACTGCTTATCTCGAGTCTTGGAACTTTTCAGTAGTTGTTCAATAAATGCGAGCGAGGCGGTGTTTGTGGGATCTCCTATAGCGTACATCCGTTTGTAGAATTCCGTCGCTTCATTTTCAATGTCTGAGGGAAAAAGGGAGTCCGAGGAGGCCAGCAAGACACGTGCCTGCTCTGCCACATCACGTAGCACATCATTTAACGAAGAGGCTAAAAACGTATTAAGCGCCGCTGTAGCGTTAGAGACATAATTTTGTTTGGTAATTAGCTGCTCTGCAACCTCTACAATAGACATGGCCACAGCAAACCGATTCTCTGCGGCGTTGGCGCGAAAATGCAGTTTTCCCTCAAGTGCTTTACTGATCCATGTTTCACCGGTTTCAGAAGAATCTTCCATGCACATGGCGATAGCTGTAACAAGTCGTGGATTACCGCCGCTAGCAAGAAATGCCTTCACTGCCGTCTTGGACTTCAGTACAGTCTCCATCACTTCAATCGTGCGACTCGCATCCACGACAGTAAGCTCAGACAAGACCATGATGACAGCATTCAGCCTTCCATTTTTCTCCGCCTCTGGCAAAACGATAGCCGCGACGCGGTCAAGGGCAAGCCAACGCTCTTTTAGAATTAATTTCGCCGTACTGAAATTTTTAACTGTACCCGGAAACGTACCAAAAAGCAGCATGGAAAATAATAACAACGGGTACCTCTGAGCAGCTGGGCGAAGTGTTTCCATGTCAAATGTACGGTCACGGCTGGCGACATGTACAGCAGCTTCTACAAAAGGAAAAAACCGCCACAACTCACTCTCAGAAATACGTGCCGTACCCGTCGTAGCTGTTGTGGCTGATGGGGAAGCCGCCGTAGCTGCCGCGGAAGTACTTTCTATGAGCTCCGCTGCCGCCATCTGATCCCGTGGTAAGGATTGTAGGGAAACCTTCTCGGGATGTTTCAAGATGTACTCAAGAGCGCTGCGTTGGCGGCCAACGTTGTTCCAACGGCCAAGGAAGATCGTCACCGGTGGGTACGTGCCTGGTGTACCCGTCCCTTTAAATTTGTAATACGCGTCAAAGACTATTGCAACGTGCTTTTGCCGGAAGGCCTCCTCCCCGGGCTTATCAAGCATGCGGAGGATGGCATCCCAGTCCATCTTGGTCGAGCTCCGCTCTTGCAAGAGCTCGAGGAGGGGTATCGGCGAGATGGTGGCGCTGTGCTGTGTCTTCGTCGGCTCCCTCCCGGTCAAGGACATCAGTGTATTGTATGTGTTGATGTCAGAAGGTGCGCTTCCCTGCGAGGCAAAAAAACCCAACACCTCCGCCACATCGCTTTCCGTAAAGGCGTGTGGAAAAAAGCTAAGTAACTCCCGGCAGTCAGCCTGGGTTGCCACACACGCGGTCCCAAGCTCTCCTATAATCTTGGAGAGACTAACATGCGTGTCGGCGACCCCACTGTTCGGGAACAACGTCACGCCGTTAAATGCACTTGACAGCTGTGTGTCTAGAGACTCCATGCCGCCCGCCTGTCGTGCCAAGATGCCTAAGGCCCACATGCTACCATTGTCATCCTTCAATGTGGCTGGAGAAACACCAAATGTGTTCAAAAACGCCGTTGCCGCCTCTTTGCCTTTTGTGCTGCCAAGAAACAGCCCCATGGCAAACTGTAGCTGCTGCGTGGGCGAGAGTTTCAGATCCTTTACCATAAGGTTGGTGAGTACTTCGTTCGTCACCTGTGTCGGTGACTCCTCAAGGGCGGTGGCCACCAATGTGAGGGCGTTGCTCTTCTCCAGGGCGGCGCTCAAAAGTTTGGAGGCAAGAGCGCACTTTTCTTCGTTCTGAGGAGATTTCCGCATGGCTGAAACCGCCGCCATAATTACAAAACGGTGAAGTTCAACTGACTGCGCGGCTAGTTTTTCTAATGTCTGTAGGGTCGTTTGCAGCGTACTCTTAGTGGCTGCTGCAATCAGGTACCGGACGGTGGCCCCGCGAGAGCTGCTAATGTCGATGGTGTGCTCGTACAGCATCGCGCAACGAAAATAACGGAATTACGAATAGTTATTTGCGAAATCCCTTATTGATACACTCGTCGTGCTGCCAGTGATTTCTCTTCTTCTACGAGTGCCTTGCAATCCCGGCTGTGGCTGCCGCTGTGTCGCCTTATCCGCCTGTGACCCCCCACACGCACACCCCACTGATACCCGCTCGCTTCTTTTTTTTTGTTTTTGTTTTTGTTTTTTTTTTCTAATGTCCCCTCCTTCTTTTGGCTGTTTCGAATTCCTTCTGCACTTACTTTTCTTATATATATATATATGTTGTTTTTTGTCGTTGTTTTTGTTTTCGTTTTTGTTTCTTTGTTGTTGTCGTTGTTTTTTTTTTTTTTTTTTTTTTTTTTGTTTTGTTTTGTTTTGTTTTTGTTTTGTTGTTTTTGTTCTTTTCAAATGTTCCTCTTCTCTTCGTTTCACTTCTTAGTTTCTCCGTTGAAATGGGAAAATAATAGGTGCCTTACAGTACGTGTGATAATTACCCCTTTACTACAACTCCCTGGACAGACAGACAGACAAGTCAGTCAGCCACTGTATATATATGTATATATGTGGATGTGTATGTTTGTGTAATATACGTAAAGAAGTCAAAGGAAAAAAAAAGGGGAAGGGGGCAAGAGTTGCAGCCGGACGACACGGTCAACTTGACAATTCTCTGTGCTGCACTGTACTGTGCCGTATGTATGTTTGTTTGGATGCGTCTCTGCCTGTTCGCTCGTCGCCTGTTGCCGTTGCTGTTGTTCCTTCAATATGTATATATATATATATATATATGTATTCTGTTGCACGCGTCCCTGACCCTTTTCTTTTCTTTTCCTTTTCTTTTTTTTATTTTGTTTCTTTTCCTCTTTTTTTTTTTTTTTTTTTTTGTTTATTTATTTATTTTGATTTAACCCCCTGAGAAAAGAAGGGGGGAGAAAAAAAAAAAAAAAAAAAAAGGAGAAGTGTGTGTGTTTGTGTGTGTCCTCCCTTCCTCCCTCCCTCCCTCCTCTGTTCTGTTGGCCCCTGTGCTGCGGCTGCTGCAGCGGCGTATGTGCGTTTGTGTGTTTTTGCTTCAATTATTATTATTATTTTTTTTTTTTCTGATTTGTTGTTGTTGTTGTTGATGATGTGCTCTGAGTTTCCTTTGGAGAAAAGCAAATAAAAATCAAAAATAAAAAATATATAAATAAATATAAATAAATAAAAGGGGGGGATTTCTTCTCCACAGCAGCAATGAGTGGAAGAAAAGGAAGAAAAGGAGGAAACGAGACAAACGGAAAAAAAACGCAGAGTACTGCAGGACGTCTTTGGGGAAGGGAACTGCAAATGTGCCGTCATTGACAGGAACTGTACACGTCATCTTCTCACTAGATCCCCCATATATATATGTATCTACACACACACACATGTATATGTGTATTTTTATATGGAGAAAAGCTGCAATAAACACATAAATATATGGATGGGTAAATGGATGTACGCACCGCAGATGAGTAGTCAAAAAAAAAAAAAAAAAAAAAAGAGGGGCAGCTGCCATTTCCCTTTCTCTCTCTTTCTCTCTCTCTCTCTCTCTCCTTTTTTCCTCATCGAAGAATTTATTTCCCCTCTCACCCGCAGCAGCCCAAAGACCCACTCGATCCAGACGGTCTCCTCGCGGTAGGGGTTGCCGCCACACTTAAATTCACCGTGGCAGGCCCCGGCCTACGCGATTTCTGGGTGCCACTACACGTGTAATCCTCACCAGAGGGGGCGGAGACACCCGTTGCCCCACGCGCCGCAGGACGATCACATGCATGACTCCCCCTTTCGGCTTTAGTCTGTCCGCCAGCGGCCAGCCGCTCCTCCTCCCACTCATCCTCAATGCGAAGAAGACCACGTCGCTTACGCCGACCTCTCGCTGCGGTGACTGCAGCGTTATTCGCGCCGCCGGTGTTCGTAGCCCCACCGCCACTCCCACGTCCTCCCGATGCCGTCGCTACTGCCGTCGCCAAAGCCTGAAACGCCACCGCCACATTTTCGCCTGTCTTTGCACTCGTCACAAAGTGCAGTGCCTCATGTGACTTTGCAAACTCCTCCGCCTTCTCCTTGCTAATATCGCGCTCCTCCTCACGATCGGACTTGTTGCCGCAAATTACAAGCTGAATCTGGTTCCCCACAACAGCCCGGAGCTCCCTAATCCACAGTCGCACCTTCTCAAGGGTGTCGGCATCCGTGATGTCATACACAAGCAACGCCCCGTCAGCATTTCGGTAATAAATGGGACCAAGTGCGTGAAACCTTTCCTGCCCCGCGGTGTCCCATACATTGATTTTCACCTTGGCACCGCTGCCATCCAGTAAAGGCACGTCCGCACTTGTGTACATGCTTGCCTGAATTGTACTACTCTGGTTCTCGTCAAAGGCATCGTGCGCAAAGCGGGAGACCAATGACGTCTTTCCCACGCGTCCCTCACCAAGAAGAACCACCTTGTACCCAGACGGCATGGACCTGGCTCGGGAAAGTGGCGTCCCGGCCACGTGTCTCCTTTCCTGCTACCACCAGCACTCATAGAAGAAGTGGCAGCGGAAAGACAAAAAAAAAGAAAAAAAAAAAAAAGGAAAGAAACAGCGGTGGGAAGTTGCCACGCAGAAACACAGGCATAAAATAAAAATAAAAAAAATAAAAATAGTTCACGAGGCTTCTCCTCCTGTTATACCCCATAAAATTAAAGATCGATACCACGCAGTGTATTCTAACAGCCGCTTGGTGGACTCCTTGCGGCTCCGTTTGTGTTCTCCCACCCAACCGCCCCACGCAGAACCAGCGGCGAGTTCCAAAAGATCAAAGCGGAGAAAAAAAAAAACCAAAACAACTAGAAGAGAAAAAAAAAAAAATGGCGGTCGTGCCCGCCGCAAACCTCATACCCCAGGCCCAGACACAGATGACGTGACGCAGACAATGGGCCGTCGCCGGGTGTCGGGGAAAGAAGACGGACGGGTGTTTGGCTGGGGGGGACCCTCAGAGGACACAAACAAAAGGCCCACCAAAGCTGATGATGACAATTGTGCGTCAGGCAAAAAAAAAAAAAAAAACGCGTACGTATGCATGCAGAGAAGAAGCTGACAGGGCCTGTCGTGGTTCATTTACCGCCTCCGATGCACAACACGCAGCCCCTGTTGATGGAGAAGCTGCACCGCATCCTGCTGCAGCCGCTGCTCCTCCGCACGCTTCTCCCGGTACTCCTCCTGCTGTTCCAGCGCATACAAAGCCTCCTGCAGCCGTTCAATCTCCAAACAGGCCGACGTTGTCGCGTTCTCTGCCGGTTGTCCCACAGCGGTGGCCTGCGGGCGGTGCGGGGAAATATGGCTCGTTACAAGATCAAACCTTACAAACGGTGGCCTCACTTTCATCTGTTTCTTCTTTAAATGTGCGCCGCCACTTCCGTTATCCAACCCCCGCGGTGCATGCAGGATCTTTTCTCTTTCCTCACCATTTGTTAAACCAAAACGGTTTTCATCGCTCTCGTCATCTTCGCCTCTCTCATCATCAACGTCCTTTTCCTTTTCTGCACTGGAGAGTTGCCACTTCAGCAATTCCGCCTTCAGTGCAGCATGCAACGCGTAGCGGGTCTCCATATTTTGTCGCACCTTCTCCTCCAGTTGCGCCTGCATCGCAGCGCTTTCTGTGATGTGTTCTTTTGTTCCATTAAGGCCGCCCCTTCTTCCCCCTCCTACTTTAGCCCGGCGACGCAACGAGGCCCAAAGATCGGTAAGATGCTCTCGCACCCCGGTCGCACGAAAACGAATGAAGACCTCGCTCAAATTCCCCCGAGCACAGGCTTCACCCTCCCCTTCTCCGTCTTGTGGTGGTTGCCACCATGTCATCTCGTCGTCTTCGAGTGCCTTTAAAGCCGCCGCATGAAGTCGCTGCTGCCGCGAAGACGCCTCCTCCAGTCCCACGGCTCTTGCCACCAAGGAACCTAAGCGGAAAAGCTGTTGCGTGGTTTCTCGCACGCGTGCTTCGATTCCAAGTAAATGCTGCAAGCCAGCGCACAACTGACGGTAGACGCCATGGTGCGCAGGGTGACACAGCTGAGCATCAAGGACGGAGTGCAACCCCAAAGAGACGGTTTGTTCCGTCCGCTGATGCAAGGCACACTCGAGCCGATTCATAGAAAGCGTAATAAGATGCCGCATGGAGAGTAGACGGCGCGTGAGATCAGGCAAGCGCATCATAGGCGCGTCCTTTTCATCCAACAGGGTGGGAAGAATCTGCCGTATTTGCTCCAAACGGTGCGCAATGTGCTCCTTCTCTACAAACGACGCGGGCGGCCACGGAACTGCCGCGGGGAAACAACGCAGCAGCGATTCTCCCTCAGGGTCTTGCGGTTGTGCAAAAGAAGCATGCCCTTTCTCCACCCCTGGGTCGAAGCCATCATCGTTTGGATTACAGTGATGCTCATTGGGGTGGCTGCTGCCTTCATGAATGACGGGACCCTGTTGAAGCAAAAACCCGTACATACTCTGGAGCTGCACATATTCGGCCACCGCCACAAGTCGATATTCCTTCGTGAGCCAGAGAAGCGATAGCAACAACTCATGAATAGAGCCACGAAGAGGGGTCTGCACGTAGAAAGCGTCTCGTCTATACCCCAGTCGGGCAAATGTGCTAACCACAAAGTACCACAATTTGATCGTAGGAGGCACCGCAAGTCGCTCGCGAAATGGAGTCGAGAGGCGTCGGCGTCCATCAACCAACTCTCCACGTCTTGAAGATAAAAACGATGCGTGTAGTCCTTCTTCCACCACCTCGTCCAACTCGGCGTGGAGGCGGGATCCTCTTGGAGCGGCATGGACTAAAAGACGTTGGGAACCACAGACCGATCGTTCGTGTTGTTCCTGGAGCCGATTCCTGTTCATTCCTTTTGATGCCGCTCGCGTGCTCCAATGAAGTTTTGTGGGGAGACATCTGCGGCCTGTGTTTTCTCCTTCCCCCGTCTTCCCACCTCTGCCCTCTTCTTTCCCTGGAGATAATGATGAGGAGAAGGATGTGTATACATCGTCGTAGCGGTCCTCCACACCACCAAAAAGACACTCCAAATCTCTCGAGGTGTTTGTGAGGTCAGAACTCGAAACTGTGACGCAGTAGAACAATGCATTAAAGACCACTTGCCAGAGACCATTGCAAAGCATTTCGTCGCTCAGCGGCTCCTCTGCGTTCCCCGACACACCACCCATGGCTACCATTTCCCGCTGGTAGTATCTTACAAGGACCTCGACAAAACCAAAGATGCTCTCCTCCTCGTCCTCCTCCTCCTCCCCGTCACTTCGCTCCACTGGTTGGGCTGAGAAGTCTGACATTTCGCTGCGCAACGATCGCCACGCGTGGCCTCCCGCCCACTCCACCGGCAGATCGTCCCCAAGTGGAGGCAGCGAAAAAAATCCAAGGGTGGCCCACACATCGAGCGCCACAGTCCGCACGCAAGACGCGTCGTGCGACGGATTTGTCGCCGTCCTCTTGTCTCCAGCACCCTTCTTCACTGAAGGCGCCCTGACCGACGGGGCTGGAAAAGGTGGACGAACACTTTTCCTTGCGACAGCAGACAGGGGACTACGTGTGGTTGCCCTCGTTGCTATCCGTCCTCCCAAGTCGGCCATTGTACTGAGGCTTCTCTGCTCCCCATCCCTCTCTAATACCAAAGCGTCACGCGCAGTCTGAAGCACAGACGACGCCTCATTATCGCGCAATTGGCGCTCGTCGGCCAACTTCTCGGCCAACCCACGGACCTCACGCTCAAAGACTGCAAGTGCACCAACAAAATCATCAAAGTCGGTTATCTGTGGCGTGCTGCCATCTTCCCCCATGGCAGTCCCTTCTTCATGCAGGCTGCCAAAGCCGCCAGATGATATGACAGGTCGCACATGAGATGGGTTACTTGCCTTGCCTTTATTTTCGCTGCTCATTGTCAGCTCCTTCCCTCCCACTCGTTCAGCCACACACACACTCTCTCCCTCTATATATTATATATAAGTATATATTACGTATATGGATAAAATCCATGTATAAATCTCCCGAAGCAAACAATTCAAAAAGAAACAAAAGGCAAAAAAATTTCAGAAAAACAACAACAACAACAGCAGCCACAAAAACAAAAAAAAAGGGCGGGACAAGACACAGACACACATGCAGATACACACACACAATATCAGTAAACATCCATCCACATGTATGTAACATAAGCAGAGATACACCACAAAACCAAAAGATTTGTTTCCTCGCAGTAACAGTCACCGGGTAAATGGCAGTAGCAGACGTCAGTCTTTTGGCTCATTAGCAATGTTATTAGCGAAGAACAAAGAACCAGATCCTCAAAAAAAAAAAAAAAAACAAGAAAAATGAAAGGAAAGCCCCACACACAAAGACACAAAAAAAAAGAATTTCTTTACTTCTAGATAAAGGGAACAATTTGGTGAGAGTGTAAAGAAGCCTCCATACCCACACACACACACACACACATGTATAATATACATATATATATATATATGTGTGTAGTGGGCAGTGCATGTACATATATATATATATGCGGAAGAAGAAGAAGGGAAGAGAAGCGGCAAAAACAATAAACTTCACACACACACACACAAAAAAAAAAAAAAAAAAAGCCAAAGGCAAAAATAAATATACAAATAGAATGAGCCCATACAACAACAACAACAACAACAACTAATAATAGTAATAATAATAATAGTAAAAGGGAATAAAACTCAAAAGAAAAAAAAGAAAGAAAAAGAAAAAAGACAGAGAAGCAAACCAAAAGAAAAGAAAATAAAAAAAGAAAAGAGCGCATAAATATATTGGCGCTGTTTTTTTTTTTTTTTTTTTTTTCTTTGGGTTTGCTTCTTTATTCCCCCCCCCCCCCCTTTTGTTTTGAGCTCAAAAAAAAAAAAAAAAAAAAAAAAAAAAAACTTTTTTTTTTTTTTTTTGTTTTCCCCCCTTTCTCTTTTTCGGGCCCCCCCTCCCCTTTTGTTTTTCCAA